GTAACATGGAAAACCAAACTTCAACTACAAGAATTTAGTTTTTTTTTTAATATTTTAAATCAAATATTTTACAGAGGGCTACATCCTATTATTAATGGTTAACTAACTAAATAAAAAAACTATCATTAAAACAAGCTGAAAACAGTCACCTCGAAAAAGAAAAGGAAGTATTATTTAGAGCACCAAAAAGAAAACAAACTGCACATGCTGCTATACTGCGCTAAATTCAAACGAACTTATTTTATAATGGGCATTGAACAGCAGACCCAATTTTGAGTTTACGACTACAAATGTTAACTCCGTATCCTAGTAATTTTGAACCTTATCAGGGGTCTGTTTAGAAGAAATTTGGGTCCGTTAACGGACCCTTCACAAAATATCTTTTCATAAAAACGGACCCTTCACAATATATTTTAACTTAAAAACGGACCCTTCACAAAATATTTTAACTTAAAAACAGACCCTTCACGAAATGATTTTTCTTTTAATCGGATAAGATAAATTTTTTTATCTTCATTATTATTTTGTTAATCGAATAAACCCTTTCCAGGGCAGAAAACAAGAAAGATGGATGTAAACGAATTAAGTTGTCTTCGGCAGACGATTCTTCCATTATTCGTCCGAAATGAATATTCTGCGTTCAGCACAATAGGCTAAATACCAAATATTTGTGTGTTGCATCTCTAGTTTAGAAGCAGCAATTGTTGTTTATTTTTTAAAATTTAATTTTTTAATTATAATTTTACAGTGTTGAGCATAATCTTGTATGTCTTTACAATTTAAAAACTCTTTGAAAAAATTTTTTTTTTGCAATAACGGACCCTATTTGCACAAATTTATAAAAACGGACCCTGGTTGAAAGAATGTGAGTAATTTTTTCACAATTTCACGAAAAACGGACCTTTCACAAAATGTCTGGACAGATCCCTGCTTATGTAGAAGACAAGGGAACTTCTGGATCAAGTATTGGGTGAAATTTGTCTTCGTGGAGGACTTTTTGATGGAACTAACCCATGTTTGCGTTAAATGGAGAAGAAAACCGCGTAAACCTCCCACGGTTAGCTTGACAACAAGGGGACTCTAACCCATGATCCGTTTACCACTGAAGATATCTTTCATTAGCATTGCGGTCGGTGCGAGCGGGTGCAGAATTCGTATCGACCAGCCATTGCTGTGATTCGATCCCCGGTCGGAGGGAGGCGAGCACTTTATCCCCTGAGCCACCACGACAGAAACAAACGTATAAACCAACTCACACCAAAGAAAGAAGAAAAAAATGAAAAATAAACGGAGTGCTTCATGATTGTGGCTCCAGTGATGGCCTAAAGAAAACTCTAAGGGACGTGACTCCCGTCAATACGAATCGCGATGTAGGATTCGCAAATCGACTCATTATAAATCGTGATGTGATAAGTAAATCATACGAATACATATTGCGATGTATCATTTTCCAAGCTATTTAATACACACTGCGATGTATTCGAATACAAACTGCTAACATGATTTGCAAATCTAATTAGTATTACAAATCGCGATTTGTGGTTCGTATATCACATGAGCATAAATTGCGATGTACAATTTTCAAAATGAGTTGAAACAAATCACGATGCGTGATAATCGCGTAATAGAAATTACGACGCATAGTGGCCAAGTCGAGTTTATATAATTCTCGAAATATGATTCGATAAACACGCCAATACGAATGCGATTCACAATACGCGGAGAATCACCATAAAAGTAGTTTTCCGCGTATCTGAAAAGCTGAATTAGCGGAATTTCGCCAATTAACAGAAACGTGACATGCAAGTATAAAAAAATCCTTAATCGTGATGTTACAAAAACATAAGCAGCAAACTTAGATATCTATACTATTTTATAATATTTATATAAAGAAGAAATCTTAGAACAATCTTAAAGGAAGAAGGAAACTGCATGCAGGTGGAAGACTGTATTTTACGATAACCGCAAGATGTTTCTCAGGAACAGATGATACTGCAAATACATAAAATATAATCGCAATTCTTGCAATAGGCATAAAAATTTAAAAGATTTTTTTTTAACTCAAAGGTTTATCAATTTTCTTCAGTTTTAACAAATCACTCATAATTACGTTTATTGCACATATTTTTGAAGATTTTTATTTTTTTTCCGAGACCACAGAAAACACACCTATTAAACGATAACGGAATATCATAACAATTTATAAAACATTTAAAAAGCAAAAAATTTCTTTGAAAACATATTAACACTGAATATTTTCAAATATTGAAATACATTCGGACTTCTCTATAACGAACTTTTATTTTCCGAACTTCTTCTAGGACCCAAGAACATTTTCAGAATTCCTTCGTAAAATAACTTCTAAATAACTAAGTAAATTCTCTATTTAACGAACATTTCTAAGTGATCAATTTTTTTTTCCTCCTTATATCTAAAATTGTATTTTATCTTTGAATTGCAATCTTAATGCTGTTTTAAAAAGTTTTTCGACGGTTGAGACTTATAAAATATGTACATATTAATTTAGAAAACGATGGTATTATTAATTAATTTTTTTACATAGATCCAATGTTTATGAATTTGAAATCTGTTTTGTGTTGTTTAAAGCATTTCAAAAAGTGAACTTCTACATGACGAATTTTTCATAAACGAACTTTCTTCGGTATTCAGCAATTTTGTTAAATAGAGCTCTAACAGTACCACAAAGAAAATAAATCATTGAGAAAAGTCGGAATTTTTTTTTTAGAACACGTTGTAAATAGTGATTGAGAAGGAGAACAGGATAAATATTTCCCATAATCCCCTTCGATGAAACCAATCCAAAGGTGAAAACTCCAACAAAGTTCATAATTTTATTTTTTTCCCCATTCTATTATCTAATAAATGAAACGAAATGCACCTCAAAATGTTCCTTTTTTTTCCCCGATTACACAGAATAAATTCGTTTTAACTCGAAATAACTAAGGAAGCATTTAAGTGGACTAACATATTTTAAAATAAACGTACTTGTACTAACGAGAAATGCCGGGGGGAAAAAATCTATGCAGAAAATAAGTAGATCAGCTGATTTCAATTTAAAATATAATGTAAAAATGAACTTCATAGCAAACAACAAGTGACAGGATAAGAAATTTGAATCTGTACTAAACATAACACGCCAACGATTTAAGTGTTGACTTTACACCAAAGGCGGCAGACTTTTTTTTAATCTGACAGTTAAATTGCTGATCCATCATAAACCGGGTGTGCATTTGCAGGTGATTTGCAAGATTCTCTTATTATATATGACAAGGAGGTGGATATTAGGTGCAAACTTGAAAGGCCCATCTGCTGATAACTGGATTTAAAAATCATCTTCCTCTCACGCTTGCTGCAATTCTTTAAGTTACAGCAAGCGTGAAAGCATTCAATTATATACAATTACATCCGAGAAGAGGTTGTTAAAATTTTATTATCTCACCGTATGACTTAAAATATTTTTAGTTAATTTAAAAATCATAACTGCTAAAAATTTAGCAGTTTAAAAGAAAGAAATAATTGATTTGTAGGCTTTGTAATGATATTATAAGTATGGTAACTTGTTTTTATTGCGCATTATATTAAAACGAAAAAAATTTTTCTTGCACTTCAACTGATCTAAATTAACCTTGTTGAGATTCCTTTCCCTTGTTTCACTAATTACGTGATTAGGCGTAATAGCCCTCATTCAAGTGTCTCGTCAAATGAGCAATTCAAAAATATGCAAATATATGCCAAAGTTGAACACTGAAAAAGCATTTGCTAAATTTAGCAATACATAAAAAAAGAAGTAAATTTGAATCGTGATTTTATGTTAAACTACCACTCCAATATACGATTCATAAATCAGTGGTAACAAATAGCGATGAAGAGAGCTAAGACAAATTCTAAACTCCTTACTTTCAACTCCAGAAGAATTAAAGTGATTAAGCCAAACCACGATATTTAAATCAGATTAAAATGGCTACCTGTAAGTGACGTCACGTGTGTAAGTCGAGCACGATTGGCTGCTGAATCGACAATTGCTTACCTACGATGACGTCATTTGATGGCATCAAATTGCTTTGTTTATCACATGAACAGGCTTTCGATATAACACAGAAAATGATCCAGAAAATCCGCGTCAGGATACAACGATATGAAAATGAATAGTTTTTATTGTCGTGAAATGCAATTAGTAAAATATTAATACAACATAAAAATTTAATTCACTTAGAAAATGTAAAAGTGGAGGGGAATAGCAATTTAAATTAGCGATTAAAAATAAATTGTAATTTAGAAATTAAAGAAAATAAATCGACTTCCATTTCAACATTACAGGGTGCGTAGCCAAATATTTCAACAAAAAATATGCACCTTTTAAGCACTTTTTAAGCACTCAAAAAATATTTTTAAGCACTTAAAAAAATTGTGATTAGGCAGGGATGGAAAGTTTTTGACTTTTGGCAATAGACGGTTTTATTGTGTTTAAACCGTCATGCCACCCCCCCCCCCAAAAAAAAATGTCGGCACTGTTATTGACAATTGTCAAAAATCATGAAATTTTGAATCATGTGAAACTAATGGCGTTTTCATACGCTACGGACTGACAATGCGTCGAAATAGATTGGGGTTGAATTAATTGTGAAAACGTTGAATAGAACAATGTGAACAGCGTTTTTTTGCATAATTCGAAGCGAAAATCAACAGAGTAAAGGAACTATCTAGTTTTGAAAAAGGGAAAATTAAGCACCTTTAAAAGACACCCAATGAAAAAAGCACCTTTAAGGGCTTTTTAAAAACACTACGCAGCCTGAACATTTTGAGAAAAATTGAGTACAAAAAGTAAATATTTTAAGGAAAAAATCAATCGAAATTTTCAAATTAAAAATTAAAAAAAAATAGAAATTACACTTAAATATTTTTTTTAGTTAAATAATTTTAAAACATATTTTGTTTATTTTTAACAAGAAATCTTTTTTTAAAAAATATCACGAACTTACATTTTTCAAGTTCTTCTGCATCCGCTCCTTCATCATCAGATTCTGTTCCTGAATCGTGATCATCATCATTCTGAAAAAGGAGAGACAGAAAAATAGTTAGTAGGCATAATATTTTGTTTAACTAAAACGTTCGAAAGAATATATATGAAAAGTAGATAAGTATGGCATTGCTGTTAAAAAATCACATTCAAAGTCAACTGAATGATTCGGCTGTATACACAATTTTGAATAAAAATATATTATTATTCAAGTATTATTATCCTCGAAAATATGATTTTTGTTGCTTTCGAATAATTATTTAAGTTTGATACTTTAATAATTGGAAAATATTGATCAGAAGCATAAGCCTATTCAATATTTCAACTTCAAAGAGCAGGTTTAAAAAATAAAAATCTAACATCTTTATCTTTGCAACAAGGTCATCGTTCAAAGCAGGGGTTTCCAACTTACATGAGGCCGGGGGCCCGCAATTAAAAACACCAGTCAAATGGCGGGCCGCAACTTTATCAAAATTTTATATAGGACTCTTATGTTTGAAGGAACATTAAATATTGCTGTCAGATTTTTATCAAGTTGTACAAAACAAAAGTATTAAATTACAAATTAAAAATAAGAAGCAAAATCTTTAAAAATATTTAATTGCATATTAAGAAATCCTGGCTACAATAACTTTAATGTATACCGATGTATTAAACAATTAATGTGCAACAGATAAGAAATTGCTAAGATATAAAACTTAAAAAGTATTTAAAACCCATATAGAATTTTTACGAAAATTGTCGGCAAAAAAAAATGACAACTAATATATTTTGTTTCGCGGGCCACAAAAAAAGGCTTCGCGGCCCGCCAGTTGGCAACCACTGGTTTAGAGCAAAAGTTAATAAAAAAGGATAAGAACAAATACTCATTTTGTAAAAAAATATATACACTTAAGAGCCATTACATTATGAACACCCTGCTAAGGGGCCGTTCAAAAAGTACGTACATCCCGAAGGGGAGGAGGGGATTTGCTATTATGTACGGTTTTGTACGATGGGGAGGGGGGGGGAGGTATTATACAAAGTACGTACTTTATAAACATACACCAAATTTAAATTTGACTTTATCCTACACCCTCCTTAAGTAAATATTTAATTTTATTTAAAACATAATTATTTTAATTTTTATGAAAAAGGGGGGTAGACTAATAAAATGTACGTACTCTAAGGGGGGCGAGTAAGATCTTATGTACAGTAATGTACGAAAGGGGGGGAGGGGTTTAAAATTTCTCCATTTTTGTGTACGTACTTTTTGAACGGCCCCTATTACAGAAATAAAAAGTTAACCTTAAATGAAAGTCAAAATTACCAAATAAAATATGGTTTAGCTTTTTTTTAAAAAAAAGACAGTAAACTTTATCCTGACAGGATAAATTAATTAATGTAAATGATTATAGAATAAATGATTTAATTAGACAGCAATAAAATATGATAAACTTTTCTTCTCTATCCTTATATTTACAATTAATTGCAATAAATGCACATATTTGACATACATTAATCCACAAATTAATATATGCATTTAGATTCCTTGTCATAAAGAAACTATAAAAAATATATACATTTGGGAACACATTTATACAACAATAAATTTATAAAACAAATCACAATTGGAGAATATGATTGGAAAAAACATCAAAAACCTTATGGTTGATAGTTAATATTTTATATTGTTACTAATTACTTCTTAGGTAGTCTTTTTCGTGTGCATTGCATAGAAAAAGAGTGTTACATTATATTTCAAAACCCTTGAAACGGTCTTATTAATTAATGAAGAAAAAGGAGTGCAAGTTCTAGAAAAAAAATATTAACTCCCCGCAAATGGAATAAAATCTAAACAAGCATTTTTTAAAAATTTTGATTAAATTTTAAGTATACATAATGTTCATATTATACTATATTTATTTGCAATAAAAATTAAAACAAATAACCCTTCCAATAAAAATGTAATTAAACTTTTTAAATAAATATTCTAACAATAAATTTTCTAACAATAGATATAAACTAAATTAGCAAACTAAGTCTAAAAAGCCCTCATTTATCAACAAAAAAATAATTATATTTCATATTAATAATCATAAAAAAAATAAATATATTAGTTAAAAAAGCAAGCCAAATGAACTAATCTATTACAAACTACAACTTAAAAAATTTAGTATCAATTGAAAAAGTTCGGAAATACCAATATATAATTATGTTGACGATGATGTATAATATGAATATAATCACTAGAACTTTTACTTTTAAACAGGTTCAAGTTTTAAAACTATAGTAATAAAGTAAGTCAGAGAAAAAGCAAAAATTACTGTAAGTGGGCATAAAAATAATTATAATTAGTTGAATTATGCATAAAATTTAAATAGTAAATCAATTTAAATTGATAAATTTGTATATCTATCAAGATTTATAAACTTATTTTAAGAGATTTTAAATTTACAGTTACATATGGATTAGTTATGACTCAATCGATGAGNTTGATTTACAAAGGATTCAAAATTTTGCACTTCTTAATTGTTACAACTAAACAAACAAACAAAAAAGCTTGGAACTATTAATAAATTCAAGAACTAAAAAGAAGAATTTAAAATTTGGCATTTCTTAAATATTAGAAATAAGCTAAACAAAACTTTAAAAACTTGTAACTACTAACAAACTCTAAGTCAAGAATGACTTGACATTCTTCAGTAATGTAATATGCCAAACAAAATGATGCTTGGAAATGTTGAAAATTTTGTTTAGTATCCTAATATTTTACTTCAAATAATATGTTTTGGTATAATCATGTTGGGAAAATGCAAGAATCTGTTCTTAAATATCTTTTAACAACTTTTTTTCTAATTTTATTGCCCAAAAATGAATGAATTTTAAATTATAAGCAGTTAAACTCAAATAAAAATAGTTTTACCAAAACATGGGTTTTTGACAGAGGGGTTTTTGACATGACGGTAAAAACCATGGTATAAACCGGTAAAAACCGTCATGTGTCAAAAACTTGCCAACCCTGATATATATATATATATATATATATACACACATGAAGTAAAAGATTTTACATTTTTTTTTTTTTTACACAACGTACTTACTAAAATATTTTTAAGTAATAATTTTTAAAAACAAAAACAAAACAAAAAAATATAATAATCGCAAGAAATGTTTTTTTTTAAACTTGTATTTCAGTTTTTAAAAAAATATTAAAACTTAACAATTATGTATGTTTATTAAAATTTAGAAGTCAGGAGAACATAATATTCATCCTTTGGACTACTCCTATTATTGTTTTTTTTTAAAGAAATTTAACATTTAAAAAAGTAATCCACTTATACAATAAAATTTTCCAAATAAAAAAAACTAATCCTGGTAATAAAGTTTAATGTAATGTTGCCAATGAAAATTTTGAGTGAAAGGAGAGCTACATGACAGAGCGCGTTTTCACGGTTAAACAACATTTTGAGTCATTCTTTGGGCATACGATATATTGTTTAGGTAATTAGAACTAGCTGCCCAGATCATGCATTTTTGAAAAAATATAAGATTAATGCAAACAAGCCTATAACCGCCCGTGCCTTGAAAAAAAAAGACTGAGCGTCGAATTAATGAAATTCAGCAAACGAGCATTAAGAATTTCAACAACAGAGTGCGCATGTGTCAGCAAAACTGAGGTAGATACTGATGGACTGTAAATTAACTGACCGACAGCAAATTTACAGTCCATCAGTATCTGATTTTGCTCTAGGTTGTTGTCGGTCGCAATTATAATGTAAGCTTTTATTTTTTTATTTTTAAATTTGTTACATTAAACTTAAAAAAAAGGTCAAGTTTTTAGTTTATTTATTTATTTAAGAAAATGCCAAACAGGAGAGCGGGTCGTTAAACGCCGCTGGATTGGAAAATCGCTTCCGACTTGCTATTTAATAAATAACTCAATACTAAAAGGAATCAATGCCTATACTGTTATGAAAACATTATGCATCAATACAAAATTCACAATTTTGAATTCAGTACAAAAATTATAAATTCAAGATAAGACTTAACACTAGTTATTTCTATAGTATTATAAGACAACTCCACTTATAGATCATGAAGAGAACAAAACAATTTTTATTCATATTGATACATCATGATTCATGATCCAGTTTAGCTCTAAAGGCTATGTAAGTCGTTTCACCTGTTACGATGATAAATAAAATTTATCATCTATAGTAGAAAATAGCCGTTTACATACTAGAAAGTAATAAATGCTGGGGATAATATATTTTCTTATAGGTGATGGCATACTATTTAAAATGTAAGTACAAGTGTAACGAGTATAAAGGTAAAACTGTGAGTTCGGCAATCTTAATGCAAGAGAAAGTGACAAAAACAGGAATACTACGATATACCGTCACAAAATATCGATATTTACGATTGTCTGGCAATCAATAATTATCAATACTCACAATAATGATTCAGTCTATAATTAACGCTAGATTATCGCATTTGAAGTTGATCACTCTCGATAATTATAGAAATATTAGACCTTTTATGAAAGATCATGTTTTTGTGAATTCGTAAAAACTCCACTGCCAATTTTTTTCAATTTATAGGATGCCTAAATATTGTAGGATGCACTCTTTCTGCCAGTAGTCCTTTTTTGTAAACACGTGAAATTAATAAGACCATATTTTTTAAAGGGGAGAGGTCTTTCAAGGAATTCTTTAAAATTATATATTAAGACCCATTGAAAAGTCATCCAAATTTTTTTTTAAAAAAAGTAAAAGAATTTATTTTTGAAATGAAAAACATGAATATTTTACGTAGGGTATGTGTTGACTAGAAATTATTTCGTGATGAATCACTTTTAATGATTCAACATTTTGAGAACGGTCCATTTTAACGATAAAATTTTTTTGTGCAGGGTCTGTTAATGGACTCAAATTTTCTCTCAAATTACCCCTGATCACCTTAACGATATATCGAGGAAATGTTTTAAACATTGTTAGGGCGATAATTGAAAAATATCGATAGATCACGATACACCTGCCAAATATATCTA